ATGCTTTTGGAAGTTTGCCTCTTAATCGTCAACCAAATGTCTAAATTTGAATAACTTGAAGCTCAAACTTGGTTTCTTTCTGACTGATTGTTGGGTAAATATAGTATATTTTCATGGAACGATTTGCCAACTTGATCATTGCTCATTCAATGGGTGAGGGACTTGTTTTATCCCCTTAAAAAGGAGCATCACTTTCATTTGGCGAAAGAGCCTCAAACAAACTTGTAAAAAGCAGCATAAACTATACTCAGTGGAAGGCCTATATTGCCCCTCATGGATTAGGTAGCTACCCGCAACCATAGTGACCTTTTGGAAAGGTTGAGCTGTGGAGAGGATGGGTAGGATTGAAACACCTGAAGCATCTGCAAGACTTGACGGTACCGAAGTAAACTCTCCGACTGCTTAAACTTAAAAGAGAAATGCAGATATATTCAAACCGAGCTCAAATCCGATGAAAAGCTAACTGGAACTTTGAAAATGTTTAATTGAGCATGGAGGTATCAGCTATTGTTATCCCACCTCTTTTGGGACTGTAGAATTTTCTCATACATGTATTGATCGATGATTTGCAACATTTAAAGTATCATCATAATCTATGTTGTAGAACATGTCAACGCCCCCTACAATTGGGACAATTGTGGCCATGATTGGCTTTTAAAATTTTACCACATCTGTAGCAGAAAGCTGTTTTGCACCTGCAATCAACACATAATAAATAGAAATTCACAAGGAATTCAAGGATTCATTGAACGAAACAAGTCAGAGTAATTGTACAGGGAAAATTTCAGCAGAACAATGGGGTGTAGCTATATAAAGTTCTGAAAAATAGAAAGCTTCATACACAGTAAACTCAAAATTTAGTTCATAGACTGGTCACATAAAACAAGAAGAAAATTTAGGCAAGTTTAAATTTTGCAGCTAAAAAAGTTAGGAAGTGCTGATCTGAATTTAAGAAAGGATTTATTTCCTATCTTGTTCGTTTGAACAAAGATACACAGTTACCATGCTCATCCATTGTGACAACTCCAATTCAGTTCACTGCTTTTCACAAATCTATTCAAATGTGTCAAGGCATGGCTGCCTTATTTTTACAGACTCCCACTTTAGACCTCCAGCTAGCCACTTCGAAGGACAAAGACAAAGGACTCTAAAGATGGGAGCTTTAGCTCGAACTCAATTGTTGTTTGAGAATATTACCTTACTAGAGGTGCCAGAAAACCAATAATTCCTCCACCTAGGCATTAGCTATTATAGGGTAATCGTACTCAAATTCATACCCTGGTCTGTGGACCTTGTACCACGTTTCAGGTACCGAGAACAACCAAGGTAAACAGTTTTGAATCAAGTCAATTTTAGGGAGACAGAAATTGCTGTTGACAGAGGTTGATTGAGATAAAGAAGTGAGGAGTCTACTTTATAGCTTTGATGCTTATTACAGCAAATTCAGGGCAAATCGTATGTGTAGCCTCATAAAGACGTACTAATTAGTTTTCTTTATCCAATGCATTTTCCCAGCAATGCATCTAACTTAGATGCATCCAACAATAGTGAGCAAACATGATAGCATAATCATCCTCAAGGGGATTTTTATACAACAGGCATGGAGTGGCAAAGCAACTCCAACTGATCTTTTATATTATAAGGTAGAACCAACAACGAAATTGCTAATTCACGTGAAAAAACCATGTAATAATTTCAACAAAAGATAACATATATGGGTATAAATCAAATGCGAAGACTTTAAGGAAAAATAGCAGATAAACTGACCTGCACATCATGAACATGCAACCCTCCGATTTTTCCACATAGAACTTACAATTGGGGCATCTTCTCCATTGTTTCTGCTGCGCAAGGTTCTTCAACATGACAGCTTCCTTTTCCCTCTCATCCTTATTCAACTTCTGAAATTCTTCGCACTCAATCCCCTCGTGCCAAGGAACCTTACACTGGGCACAGAACATTCTCCAACAATTGAGGCACTGTGATTGCCTTATAACCTCTTTCCCATCATCAATCAACATAGCAGAGCAATCCTTATAGGGACAATAAAACTTCTCAGACCCAAGAATCACACTCTCACACAACACACTTCCCCACCTATCAAACACCTCAGGGGGCAGAATTGGTCGACAATACTCGGCCTCTAGCAACCCTTTACAATCAGGAACAGGACACCTAATGTTTGTGATGTTCTCTTGAAGCTTCGAGGCCACGTAGTTGACCGTACAGTCAGTACAATAACCATGGCTGCAATTTTCTACCCCAAACAACTGGTTTCCGGGTTTGGTTTCAACACAGATTTCACAAACAAAAGATGGGTTTTCCTTGGAATTGGAAGATTGCCCAGCTTCGGTCACAGAAGGACCCGTAAAGGGCTTTGTTCGTTTTCCGAAGGGGGTGTTTGAGGGTTTAAACCTAAGAATTCTAAGCTCATCGTCATCGTCGTAAAAGTCTAGAGTTTCATCAGAAAGGTCGATAAAGTTACCTGCTTTGATCGATTGAAGGCCTCTTTCCTCTTCCAAGTGCTCTGCTGAGCGCTTCAGTGAAATGGGTGTGAAGCAAAAGGCATCGTCGTCTTCAATGTTCACGATCTCAATTTGGGACTGAGGCTGAGACTGAGAGTGAGCCAGTGTTTTCTCCATCTTTGGTTTCCTTGTTCTCATTGGAAACTTGTCGCTGAGATTTAGACGCTTTTGGACTCTCACTCTGCAATTTCAATTTGAGTCGTCCTCCTCTTCCTTAATGTGCACGCTACTCTTGTTAATTATGGTTAACTTTTTAAATTCCACAATGGTGACGCAGAGGATTATCAGTCCTGGGATCTCTTTTAATCAACGACAATTAATCAAGCACAATGTTATTATTTTATTGGTTACATATTCTGGGTTGGATTCTGGTCAATCAACCTAAAAATTACTATTCTTTTAAAAATACTATAGAAAAGACAGGAATTCTTGCCGTGCTTTGTGGAGTGTGACACATCATGATAGAATGAAGGTGGGGAGAGGAAGGAGGGTTTTCTCATACATGACATGTCAATGTGTCATGTAGAATCGAATTCGAGACCATTAGTATATAAGTCAAGATTCTTTTTTCGTTGGACTAAACTCCACTAGCAAGTATTCACGAATATTACTTGACATGTGTGTAAAAATAATTCATAAAAAAAATATATAAAAAAATTACCACACACATGTCAAATTGGTGTGACACATCCACATAGAAATCTAAGGATTAATGAATGCTACTCGACACAAGTGCAAAAAATAGTTTATCTAATGCAAAAAAAAAAAAGAAAAAAACACTTATATACACATGTCAAACTGTTAGTAGGAATGTAGGAGAGAAGACAAATATTTTCCTTATAATATGAGTTCATTGATCAATTAATTTTGTTTTTTAAAATAGAATTCTACAAAGCTATTTTTATAGTAAGAAATAATTCATATGCAACAAAGTTACGACATTATAATAAATTAGCTAAAATTAGTTATCAAACTCACAACAAATTTGTATCCATCATTGCATTCATTTCATTCAACCCTTGAATCTCCTCTAATTATGTGAAAACAACCACCACTAGTTAAATTATATGAAGTACTTTTGTTTAAAGTAACTTTATTTATATGAAAGATAGACACATGAAAGACTCTTTGTTTTTTTTTTTAATTAATGGGGAATAAAACATGCATTCTCTAATCCACTTTGTCTCCCTTTATTTTATAAAAACCTTCCCACACCAATGCAAACGCAGTCTAATCCAAAATCCCTACCTCACAAGGAAAAAGTGACTTTATACGGTAGACTTTTTTTTTGGTAAGGACAATGATTCCCTCATTGTTCGTACTCGTTGCTCACTAGTGTAGCTCATTCAGAAGTAGACACGTGTTTTTCTTTCTTATTCTAAATATAGAGTTAATCGTTTTATTAGTTTCTAAACTTAAACCTAATTTGCATTTGAGTCTCTCAATTTCCAAAATCGTTCTTGTGGTCCTTCAACTTCAGTTTCGTTAGGACAAATGGTCATGCCATCAATTTGTTAACTTTTCTATTAAATGCAAGGGCAAAATAGCATTTTTGTTTCAAGATTGATTAAAATATGAATAAAAAAATTAAAATTAAACTCTATCTCACCCCCTCTATCCCGATTTCTACTCCCCCAAACTTGATTTATCCTTTTTTTTTGGTTGGTTTTTTTTATTTGATTATCTTTTATTGTTATTTTAAAGATATGATTTTTATTCATTTTTTTTGTTTTAATATAAAAATACCATTTTGCCCCTGTATTTTACAGAAAAAGTTAACAAAATTGACGGCAGGACCATTTATCCTAACGAAAGTGAAGTTAAAGGACCACGGAAACGATTTTGGAAATTGAGGGACTCAAATGCAAATCGAATCTAAATTCAAAGACTAATAAATCGATTAATCCCTAAATATATATTTCATTTCACAACATTATTTTCTCAGTTGAATGCTATTTTGTCTTTTTATTTTTTGTTTAACTTTCCTATTTATTTTTTCTTTCCCCAAATAAAGCAATAAGCAAGTCATTCTCTCTTGTCTTTCTTGTAATTTCTTCTTTGATTTGCTTTTCGGGTTGATTAAAAAGGACTTTTGAGGTTAAGGTTAAAGAGGCCCAAGTGGCTGAGTTGGGGTTCTTTTTCAATAGGGATGTGGGAGGCAGTGATTGAGAAAAAAAAAGAGTTGAGGAAAATTAAATGAAAAAACTGAAATGTATTTTTGCAATAAGAAAAAAAAAACAAACAAACACGTGTCTGTTGATCAAGCCAAACACAAACACATTGAGGCCTACAAAATGGCAACCAAACCTGTGCTACAAAATCAGATAGCCCAAGGGAAAAAAAAGGACATTGTTCCCTTAAAAAATATATATAAAAAAAAGGTAGGCCCTTCCCAGTGAAAACAAAAGATTGGCCATGTTTCATTAATTACATTTAAAGAAAAGAGAAAGTAATTTGAATAAGGTAGGTATCGAGTCAAGTGTGCATGTATTCGTACAAGGATTGTTCCAATTCTTCCAAGAATACGAGGGTTCTAGCACCAATGATATAAACAAAGTATTCTTCCAACATTAGACGTATTTTGTCGTAGTACGAATTAGAGTGAGGTCTGGATTTGTAGAAGAACGCACGTCCACACCTGCAAGCAACCACCCGAATTGGAAATCATCATTGTACACGTAGATATATGTCATTATACGTAGATACTAAATTAGTAGATACTTTCTTCGTAGGTTTTGAATGAATATATTAACGACGAATGAGAATGTATCTACAATTTTGTATCTGCGTACATGTTCAATTTCAAACTAAGTATATACTTCAACTCAAATTAAGCCTAATTTCCCAACTAGTTGCAGCAATCATAGAAAACTATATTCTTTTTTTATTTGTGTGTGCGTGCGTGTGTGTTTTTTGGCTATATAGAAAACTAATTTAATCTGCGGAAAATCTTGAATTAATTAAGCAGAAAAGATTGGCCATGTTTCATTAATTACATTTAAAGAAAAGAGAAAGTAATTTGAATAAGGTAGGTATCGAGTCAAGTGTGCATGTATTCGTACAAGGATTGTTCCAATTCTTCCAAGAATACGAGGGTTCTAGCACCAATGATATAAACAAAGGATTCTTCCAACATTAGACGTATTTTGTCCTAGTACGAATTAGAGTGAGGTCTGGATTTGTAGAAGAACGCACGTCCACACCTGCAAGCAACCACCCGAATTGGAAATCATCATTGTACACGTAGATATATGTCATTATACGTAGATACTAAATTAGTAGATACTTTCTTCGTAGGTTTTGAATGAATATATTAACGACGAATGAGAATGTATCTACAATTTTGTATCTGCGTACATGTTCAATTTCAAACTAAGTATATACTTCAACTCAAATTAAGCCTAATTTCCCAACTAGTTGCAGCAATCATAGAAAACTATATTCTTTTTTTATTTGTGTGTGTGTGTGTGTTTTTTGGCTATATAGAAAACTAATTTAATCTGCGGAAAATCTTGAATTAATTAAGCAGCAGAAGTACCATAGACTATAACTTACCTGCATTTCATGACGTTGCACCCATAAGATTTTTCTATATAGTATTTGCAACTTGGACACCTCATCCAGTTCATTTCTTTGGCAAGCTCCTCCACCATCTGATCTTGATCTCCATCACTTAGTTTCTGAAACTGGGCACAATCAAACCCTGCATGCCAAGGAACCTTACAACTAGGGCACAAATCTCTCTTGCAATGAGGACACTCTGCTGCACACAAAGACAATTTGGCGCCATTCTCATAAACCAACAGGGCTGAGCAATCCTTGAAGGGACAGTACAAGTACTTGTCAGTCTTAGACCCCATAACCACAGCTTCACATAAGGCATTCCCCCACCGATCAAAAAACATCGTTAGGGAGAATTCGACAGCAGTGCTCAGGGTCTAGCGTGCCCTGGCAGCCTGGCACAGGGCACATAATGGATGTCACATTGTCCTGGAGCTTGGACACTACGAATTTGACAATGCATTGGTCGCAATAAAAATGGGTGCAACCCTTCACCTTGAATGAGTCTTGCAGATGGTTTGGCTCAAGGCAAAAATCACATGTAAAAGTGTTTGGATTAATCTCGTCATGTTGGTTATGAGCCGATCCTGCCGAGTTCTTCTTTGGCTGTTGAATTTTCTTCCCTTCCATGATTCAATTACGGTGATTGATCTTGGGATGTTGATGTCAAAAATTAGGGCAAGAACATGTACGTTCTAGTTTGCTATTCCTCCTCTTGTTGCTTCGTGCGTACGTTACTCCTCCAGACAGGTGAGTGGAAACTCTTAATTAGGTTAAATAAAGCAGTCTTGGTATTTTGTGTTGGTGTTAAATTCAAGAATCCTTTCCTCGGTCAATAAGGATTTTAACCTTTTTTAGTGGCATTTTTTGTACTTAACAAAAATAAAAATAAAAGAAAAGCAATACATTATTATTCTCCCTGAAATCGCAAATTTCCCAACATGCTTCAGAACAAAACATTTGTTCCCTTTCTTTTATAAAAACCTTCCCACACCAATGCACAAGAACAAGCTACAGGTTCGACAAAGTCTAATCCAAAATCTGTATTGAATCTTGCATTTAGGATAGTATAAAAAAAAAATAAAAAAAAGGACGGTCCACTGAAAACACAAGATAGAATTGGCAAGGGGACCCAAAAAAAAAGGAGAAAATCCAAATCAATAACCACAATTTAATAACTTACAAATGGGGGTTCTAGCACCAAAAATAAAAACAAGCAAGAAGATATAATTAAAAAAAATAAGTTGGGGTAGACTAGTATTATGGGACTAGTTGTATTTGGGAATGTTTGTTAATTGAGCTGCATTAGGTTTATTGTTGTAATTAGAGATGGGCTTGATGTTTTGAAAATGGTTTTGAGGGGCTAATTAAGAATGATAAAACCCTATAATTATAGAGATTTTCTATTTAAATCCTGCACTTCTCTTTGTTCACCCCAATACTTAAATTATTAAGCTATAAGGGTTTTCTTAGAAATTGTGAAAATTTAAATTAAAAGATGGGGTGAACTAAGAGAAGTGTGGGGTTCAAATAGAAAATTTCTAATTATATACGATAAAAATGACTTGGGTCGAAAGCTGCATTAGGCTAAAGTCCAGGGGAGCATAAACAAAGTTTCCCCTTGAAAATAGAGGTGATTCACATTAGCAAAATTCTTTCCAACAAACTAAATCACCAAAGTTGCAACCTCTTTCTTTTTGTCTTTAGAACTGACAAGTTGACTTTACTCTTCAAAACATTTAATTTTGTGTTGAAAAAATAAAACATACACTAATTATTTTCAAATAATAAATATATAAACTTTCTTCACATATTTTCGTAAATTTTTTTTCCATAACAATGCATTAATTGAATTTAAGACTCTATTGGGGCACAAATTATTAAAGTAACAAACAAATCTTTTCAAATTGTCACATAAGTCAACAAACTTCAATTTGAAGAGTTTAATTACATTAATTAAAGAAAAGAGAAAGCAATTTTAGTAAGCCATCTATCGAGTAGAAGGATCGTTACTATTCTCCTTTCAAGAATATATGTATTTCTTTCAAGAATATACGTATTTCTTTCAAGAATAATATACGTGTTTCTTTCAATGATATACGTGTTTCTTTCAAGAATATATGTGTTTCCTTCAAGAATGATATATGTGTTTCTTTTAAGAATATACGTGTTTCGTTCAAGAATATACGTATGTCTTCTTTCAATCCAAGGATATACGTATTCTGTCGTAAAAGGAACAGCTGGGTTTGTTGTATAAGAACTCACGTCCACACCTGCAACAACCCAAACTGGAAATTATCATCACTCATACTAATCAATTTTGATGGCGACGGGGCTTTAAAAACAAAACAAGGGGGCATTTAGATTTTCATATCATTGAATAATAAGATGACGTTTTAGATACTTTGATTCATAGTTTTATGAATGAGAATATCAATAATGAATTTGAATGTATCTACGTATATATTCATAATATCTTAAAACCAATTTCAAATTAAGTAACACTTGATCTCAAATTAGGCCTAATTTCAAAACTAGTAGCTACAATCATAGAAAACTACGTTCTTTTTTTCTTTTTCTGTGGTTTTTTTTTCCGGCCCTATAGAAAACTAATTTATCAATCTACAGAAAATCTAGAATTAATTAAGCAGCAAGAGTACTATAATCTACTTAACCGACCTGCATCTCACGTGGTTGCACCCAAACGATTTTGAATATAGTATTTGCAACTTGGACACCTCGTCCACTTCATTTTTTTGGCAAGCTCCTTGACCATATCATCATCACTTAGTTTCTGAAACTGGGCACAATCGAATTCAGTATGCCAAGGAACCTTACAACTAGGGCACAACTCTCTCTTGCAATGAGGACACACTGCTGCACACAGAGCCCGTTTGGTGTCATTCTCATAAACCAACAGCGCTGAGCAATCCTTGAAGGGACAGTACAAGTACTTGTCAGTCTTAGACCCCATAACCACAGCTTCACACAAGGCACTGCCCCACCGATCGAAAACTTGGTTTGGGAGAATTGGACGGCAGTGCTCCGGGTCTAACATGCCCTTGCAGCCTGGCACAGGGCACATAATGGATGTCACATTGTCTTGGAGCTTGGACACTACGAATTTGACAATGCATTGGTCGCAATAAAAATGGCTGCAACCCTTCACCTTGAATGAGTCTTGCAGATGCTTTGACTCAACGCAGAAATCACATGTGAAAGTGCTTGGATTAATATCATCATGTTGGTCATTGATTAATAATATCGCCAATCCCACAACCTTCCTTTGGTGTCGAATTTTCTTCCCTTCCATGATTTAATCTTAGTAATTGATTAATATCTTGGGACGTCGATGCCAAGAATACGTATCTTCAAGGCAGACCGTGAGTGGGAACTCTTAATTATAGGTTAAATAAGTCTCGGTATTTTTTGTTGGTGTTAGGTCAAGAATCCTTTCCTTGGTCAACTGGGACACCGTATTAGACTATGGATAGGAGTAACTACTAGTCAATGTTAGTCGTTTGGTGTCAACTTGTATTATTTAATTACCTGACTATTTAAAAAGGTTTGGGCTTTTAATATTTTCCTTACCTAACTAATTAAAAGCATCCACAATGGACTCCCTAAACCACCTCCTTAGAGAAATTTTAGGAAATAATTGTAAAAATACAACTCCAACCATGCTCCCTATTCACCTCCTAAAATAGAGAGACCTCTAGGAGCTCCTAAATCTGAGGAGAGAGAAAAGACTCCTAATGGCTCCCTATAATTTAATGCTGCTTTATTTAATGAGTATTTCAAACATTTATTTAATGCTAACTAATTTTTATTTTATTTTTTAATAGAGATGGACCAATCAAAAAAGAGTTATGGCATTTATGACTCCCTAAACTAGAGAGCTCCTAAAATAACTTTTATATGTTTTTAGCTAAAATTTAACTAAAAAATATAGAGCATGATTGCGGACGACTCTAATACAACCCACACACTCGGTTTAGATAATACACACTTAATTATAAGGCTATGAAAAACAGAACACACGTTCTACGTGAAAAATCAGATGCTATATTCATTTTCTTCTCCCTAGGATTCTTCTCTAGCATCTTTTCCAATGGTTATTCTCTTCACTCTTCTCCAGGTATCCATTTCTCTCTCTCTCTCCAATATGTTTTTCCTCTTCACTCTTCATCTTCTGCTCTACTATCTTCTTCATAGGCTATTTGGTGACTGTTTGTGGAAAACACAAATCAATAATTTGTGTGGTGGTTTTTTTGTTTGAATTTCGAACACCCAAGTTTGCAGCTTTGCTTAGTGTTGAAATTCGTTCTTGCCCATTTATGTTTGTCTCGATTCAAAGCTCAACCAAACAACATGGATTGGATTATGTCTAATCCTACTACAGCTAAGTTGGATTGGATCATGCCTGTAATCCTACTAAACCTTTAACTAAGCATTGGTGGCAGTAAAAATGGGCACAACCCTTATGTTGAATGAGTTTTCTAGATGGGTTGACTGGACACAAATATCACTACTTAAGTTGGGTTTGTGTTGTTTTCGGGGTTTGAAGACTGCCCAATTTTATATGATCATTAAAGCATTCAGCTTTGTGAAATCATCATCATTTTGGTTCTGTTTCTGTTTCAAGTTTTTTATGTGAATTGTGAAACTCCAAGACTCGTCATCTCTTCTTTTATATGTTTCTTTTTGCTCTGAATAATTGGATGGATCAAATGCTCATCAGCAAAGTTAGACACAATAGTCTGCACAGAGTTCACTCCAAACCCAACTTTGTCAACAGATTGGGTTGTGCAATGCCGTGTGTCACATTTTAGACTAAGCAACGTGTCATGTGTCTCTTCACATTTCTCCCTTTTAATTAAAGAAAGGTTTTGAATATAAAAAAAATTAATAGAGTAAAACAGACCACTGTGAGAAAATGAGTTAGAATTATCTTAAATTAAAGGTTTAATAACAAAATTTAAAAAAAAAAAGAGATAAGGAGAAGATTCAAATTGGAGCAAATGAATATCTCAATCCGAGTAAAATACTACATACGTCAAAACAAATTCCAAAACTAATACTGATCCCTATTAATATGGCACATCTTGTCCACTCTTAAACTTCATTTAATTTCCAGTATTATCCTTTTGTGTAATCCAACCACCTGCATCAACCTGTAGCGTTGCAGCAAGATCTTCTCGTGAGCAAAAATAAAGGCTTATTTGTGACAGCTTGGACAGTGACGGGTATGAGAAGTTAAGGAAGCTCGAACTCCACAATTGTAACAGAAAGCATATCCACACCTGCAACATTTGCAATCCAATTTGATTACGAAAGCAAAGGAGCCACTAGTGTAGTGGTTTGGAGCAATTGCTCTTCCAGGCAAGGTCCTGGATTCAAGCCTTAGCATCCGTGTAGTTTATGTGAGTTTAGTATATTATCACCCTTTTCAATAGGAAAGGTCCTCAAAAAACCCAAAAATTTGATTATGAAAAACAATACAACAAACCAAAAAAAGAACAAAGAATATACACCAAAAGATCAAGTTTATGTAAGTTGAAGGAGGCATCCAGCTGCTGAAACCAATATCAGATTAAGTAACATTTAACTCAAATTAGCCCTTTTAAATTCCTAAGCTAATCGAGAATCAAAGAAAATAAACCAATCTGCAGAGAACCTAGAAGTAGCATAGCAGAGAAGTTCAACTGACCTGCATTTTATGTAGCTGCACCCATCGCGTCTTTCAACATAGTACTTGCAACTTGGACACCTCCTCCAGTTCTTATTCTTGGCAAGCTCTTCCAGCTGCTGATCTTCACCCTTATCTCTCAGTTTCTGGAACATGTCACAATTGAATTCCGTATGCCAAGGAACCTTACACTTGGCACAAAACACTCCCTTGCAATGAGGACACTGAGCTTGTTTGGTATCCTCTGGTTCCTCATCAATCAACAGCGTGGAGCATGCGTTGAAGGGACAGAATAAGTACTTCTTCTGAGGCCCCATAACCACAGATTCACACAAGGCCTTGCCCCAGCGGTGAAAGACGTCGTATGGGAGAATTGGACGGCAGTACTCAAGGTCTAACACCCCGGGGCATCCTTGATCCGGGCACGTAACAGATGTGACATTATCTTGGAGCTTGGACACTATGAATCTAACAATGCACTCTTGACAGTAAAAATGGGCGCAACCCTTGATGTTAAATGAGTCTGTTAGCTCAATTTGCTCAACACAGAAATCACATGTGAAAGTTGAATCAACAGCGTGCTCTGTGTCCAAAAGAGATTCACACAAGGCAGTGCCCCACAGATCAAAGACTTCGTTCGGGAGGATTGGACGACAGTACTCAGGGTCTAGCAGGCCACTGCAGCCTGGTATAGGGCACATAATGCATGTCACATTGTTTTGGAGATTGGACACTATGAATTTAACAATGCACTCTTGACAGTAAAAATGGGCGCAACCCTTGATGTTGAATGAGTGTTCTAGATGAACTTGCTCATGGCAGAAGTGACATACAAAATTTGGATCAATATCACCAACCTGCTTCTTTTCTTTCATATGTTTACTATGTTTGGTCATGAGGCTACCCATTTTGTTGCCCAATTGTTTTCCTCCCAGAACTTTCTTGCCCAGGTTTTTTCCTCTGCAAATTATGTTGCCCATCTTCTTCTTCTTCTCTCTCTCTCTCTCTCTCTCTCTCTGTCTTCAGTGGTTCTAAACTTTTCACACTCTCATGAAACAACGGAACACGAAGGATTGATCTATGTGGGAAAGCTTTCACCAATAATCAAAGAGGATGCAAAAATTGTATGTACCGTCCCATTTACACTAATAGTCACACTGGGAAAAAAAGAAGAAAAACAAGAATAAAAAGAGGCGTTTGAGGAGTGGAGACCTTAGAGCTATAGCGAGGTTTAAAGACTGATTATATCTATAGGGTTGGAAGATGAACTTCATCTTATCTTAATAGACAAGAAGTTGAGAGTTCTTTCTCGGTAAGAAATAACACTTTGTTTTTTTTTAATAAACAGAAATAGGACTTCCTTTTTTTTTTTTTTATAAACTGAAATAGGACTTCCTTTTTTTATATAAACAGAAATAGGACTGACTTCGTCAATACGCATAGTAAAGTTAACCTTTTTGGAGAAATTCCGAATCAAGATATATATTTCCTATAAAGTTTCTTTTGGGCAACCAATTATGCCTCTGATGGACTTAGTATAATATTGTGAAATGTCGAAAAGGCCCCCTGTGAGCTATGACACGCTAAGTATTGGCGTCATCAAATTCATTTATATTATAACACGTGAGAAGTCTAACGGTGATTGAATGCGTGCACCGAGCCTACTACCAACTGCGTAAAATTTTGATCACCAGTCCAGAACTGAAAATTCCGTAAACATAATTTCACATGGCAGGGTGGGGAGGGAGGAAGGGGAAAGGGGCTGCTAGGTCTTCCTTTTTCTTTTCTTTTTTTATTTTGTAAGTTTTTTTACTTTATATTTTTATGTTTATATAATATTTAACCATTTTAATATGTGTTTTGTATTTAATTTGGATTATTAATTTGGTTTTACTAAAGAAATTGACAGAATGTGATAACGTAAGACACGAAATGCAAGTATAAGGGGGAAAATTGAGTCAGTGCACAGGGTCATATCAATAAATAAGTCTTAAAATTATATTGGTTTCTTATATACAAGTGCAGTTCCAAGTGTGGCCATCTTCGTTCTCCTTTATACAGATAAAAATATAAGCCAACACCTATTAACCTTTTAATGTACAATTACAAACCAAAGGTGAGGAATGAAGAAAATAATTCTGAACAGAAAGCTTCAGCAAGTTGTCATAAGAGATGCAACAAGATCTAGCACTGTAGACTGGAGTAGAGGTTTCCAAGCGCGGTATACAGGGGCTCAGCAGCCTTTGGTCTGTCCACTGCTCCGAGTAGTATATCTGAAGTCGTCAGGTAAGGGTCACCATAAAATTGTAGATTGGTATCCATCCTTGTGGCCACAACGTTCCCTTCCAATGATACTCCTACAAATGCACCTGTCAAACATTGGAACATCGCTACATCAGGAGTCAGCTCTTTTCCCAAGCTTTCCACACACCGCAATTAACAGAACCTCAAAATGCATTAAACAATTCTACCATGGATTCAAAAAGGGTTAGGGGCGGAGTCATGGAAGAATAATGGCCGACAAACTCGGGAATTTGACCCCCCAAAAAAAACAAGCATGGGGACAGACAAAGGAAATTACAAGTATTTGTCAATAATATGAACAATTAAGAAAGGGGGTGATGCAGGACGCATATGACCTAAATTTATTAGTTTCCTAATGTATTTGTTAGTTTCCTAGATTCTCTAGTTTTCCCAATTCTAGTAGGATTTCTACTTTTCCAGATTTCCAGATTTCTAGTTTTAAGTTTCCTATTTTATTTGGGTTAGGATTTCTGTTTAAGCATGAGATTTTTATCCTATTATGTCTAGGTTTTAGTTTGCTATAAATACCCCCCATGTAGTTCTTTAAAAGGCAGATTTGGATATTGAGTAAACCTTCTCTTAAACTATGTGATTTCTGTTCTTCCTTCTCGGTTCTCTGATTTCGGTCCTTTCTTTCGTCCCTTCGATCTATATTTTCGTCTCCTCGATCTTTTATATTCTTCTATGTTCTATTGTTTGAGTGCTTAATCTAATACCTACGGGCTGTACTACATCAATTGGATGCTCTATTGCAAAGTGTGGCAAGTTTATATTCATGCCCTGGCATGTCCCACATGCCGAGTTCTGATATGTAAAAAAATGCCATACACTAATACAAGCATTTTGAGTCTAAAGATGTTATCGCACCTTTGCTACAACTGTATGTATAGCACATTCCAGAACCTCTGTCTCCAGCACGCATATCTGCTTCCAGCACTCTACCAATAGGTCCTGCTGCAACACTACAGCCAGCACCAAGAGAAAAATGCATGCGACTACAAAACGTTTTCACAGCTTTTAAGTCATGAAGTACAATTATGAAGTCCATGAGCTCACCCCCAATCTGGAAAAGGAAAAAACAATGGGAATAAAAAGATTACCACCTTGGATAGAACTAAGTAGAAAATTCAGGCCAATATTAAGAACTTCCCAACTTAATGAATAGGAAGAGACTAAATGAACCAATTTTATGACTTTAGTGAAAAACAAACTGACATAGGCAGATGCATGTGAATTTTTTTTCTTACTTTTAATTCTGCAATTAATGCATACGGGTTCTTATCTTACTACTCTGTCCTTTCTTCAAACTGGAGCATATTCAAATAATTATAGCAAGGTATTAAAAGAAAAATATATATATAACATTTTAACAATGAAAAGATTGCATATTTACCTGTGCACCCCATCCTAAGCCAACAGAAAATATGGATGACGGAGCAGACCATGATCCATCTGACCTTCGAGCAATTACCAAACCAGTACCAAGTTTGTAAGAAAGAAGCACACCAGCTTTGGCAACTGTTAAGATTGCCAGGCCTTTGGCTCCTCTGAGAACAGCTAAGGGTATGGACCTCTCTGGATTCAACCTAGCAACCTGTCCAATCCCAACACAAGATGTCATAAAACAGCTTAATAAATGGGATGATTTAACCAGTTATATAGTGATTTTACAACTCTTTAAAAGCCATTTTAAGCTAGTTTCCAGGAGAAATGAAAGAAATATTCAATCAGTATTTGCAATGCACTCTATGAAACGATAAAGCAGGAAACTATTAATCCAGAATGGTGGGAAGACAAGTAACTTAAGGAAACTTCGATGAAATTCAGAATTGCACCTGGGAATAACTTCTCAATGTGTTGGATGCTTTGTATATTTCATGTTCCATGGAAAAACCAACAGGAAGATTTAACCATCCTCTTGTACATGTCCAATCCATGACATCATGCTTTGCTGCTTGTGAAGCATTGCTAATGTTGTTGATAAGAATACCCTGCAAAGGGTCTAGCCTATCATAGCAGGCATCACAGACCCTTTGTGGATTCCTCTCCCTAAACTTGACAGGCAACAAGCACCTTCCTTTACTACATGTTCGGCAGAAAACACCACCACAGAATCGACAATGATGTCTCCCACGTGTAAGGGCAGTGAAAGGAAAAGTGCACTGCATGCAAACTGTTGTCGAACTATCAGGAAGCCACTCAGGGGGCTCAGCCTCCAAAACATCTTTGTACGCATTATAATCAAACGCAGTTGGTTCAAGAAGGGGTGGAGCACTGGGTGTGTAGACCGAGGAGTGCAAGTAGGTTTCACCATTCTTTTCTGAGCCAAGAAATGAAACATTCGAATTGGGTAGCTGCTTGTCTGATGGAGGACCCGGAGCTTTGTTCCGACCAGTCAGAATGGCAACCATCCCACTCAGCACATTCTTCAAGTTGACCTCGGGATGCATATTAGTCTGAGCTGAATCACAAGGCTCCTCACTAGAATCATATCCGCTGCCATCAATGTAATCTTCGGATTCAAGGGGAAACTGGAATGCATAATCTTGTTTCAAGGGCTTGGAGGCTACTGGGGGGTAACTAACTTTAGCACCGTCTTCTGGCTCAGTCCATTCGGAGCCAATGAATTCATCATCATAGTGGAATTGGGTTTGGCGTTTGTCTATCTTAGGAAGGGACGAATACGAAACTCTACCCTCAAAGCTGGCCATGCGATTTGTCCAAGCACTACACAAGTTTCAAGATTTGGTTGGTATTCGAAATCAGCATATGTTACAAAACTCAAACCCAAAGAAAGCGCAGGAAATAATCAACTGTTCAATTAAAGCAAAAGCAAGGTGAATATTCAGAACCGAATTAAGGGAAACTAACAAGAACCTTCTATGCAGCTGAACAATGAAAATAATTCGTAAAGTAATTATCTTTTCTCGAAAACATATGTGAGGAATTGGAATTTGCTTCCTGTTTGTTCTAGGGTTATTTAATTCAGAATGAAATAAATAACAGATAAATAAGAGAACAGAGCAATGGAAAACATACCTGTTTATCAAATCGAGCTGTTAATTGAATTAAATTGAGAAAAGAATTGGTTCGCTTTGAGATTTTCTCTCACTGTATTTTAGGGTTTTACGATCACCCAAAAACATTCAATTGTGCACGAAGAGCAAGAAGAAGAAGACGAAGATACACGACAACCGGGTTCTTGAGATATACGAAAAGACTTTCGGTGTGGATCATATATGAACTTCGTCCCTCCTCACACGTAAAAAAAACAAAACAAAAAAACGACATGTCGTTTTACGACAATACATCACGTGTTAAATGTCGTTTTAATTAGCTTGCTTCTTGCTACTTGTGGTGGTTTATTAGAGCATGTCCAGCGCGGGAGCTTCTATAATGAGGTTTATAGTGAGGAGGCTATTTGAGGAGGCCCATCTCACCATCAAAAAAACAAAAAAACGACATGTCGTTTTACGACAATACATCACGTGTTAAATGTCGTTTTAATTAGCTTGCTTCTTGCTACTTGTGGTGGTTTATTAGAGCATGTTCAGCGCAGGGGCCCTGCCTTGGCAACAGGCCCCTTGAGAGCCCAAATACCCCTCCAGCGCAACAAAACCAGCCCGGGCAAGCATTGGGACCCATCAGCCTGGGCAAGCCCATGTACAAATCTTGCCTGGGCTCAAGGCGTTGATGTCACGCTGACTTCAGCGAGCAAAAAAAATCAACAAAAAAAATCAAATTTTATTTTATTTTAAAAATACCAAAAAATTATGAATGTTTTCCCT